AAAGGTTTTCTTTCAACATACAAATAAATGACAACATTATAATTAAAATGAAAAACACAACAAAATACCTCGGTATCATAATTGATCAAAATTTGAAATGGGTTGAAATCCCAAGGTAAGAAGATTCATTTTTAAATTTTATGAATTGAGGAAATTTATGACTAGGAGATTACTAATTATTATTTACAATTCGCTGGTTGAATATGTAATCCAAAATCGTATAATTAAAATTATCTACAAAAAAACCAGCATACCTCTTTTATATAATAAAAAAGTGCTTCGCATAAGAACATTATATTATCTGGCTTGCTCTACCTTTATTTATGGAAAGCCTGAATTGAGATAGACTACAAATTATTTGCAATAAATATCAAAAGAAGCATACATTTTAAATAATTTGACATTTAAGAGCCATTCACATATCACAGTTGACATCTTGATACTTGACAGGCACAGCCAAGCATTATTCTGATTTTTGCCAAATAAAATGGCCGGTTAATTATTCTATGGGGTTGCGACAGAGCTAGCAAATTTGATGAATGTGTTTTTGTGGCTAGAGGCGAAATAGTACGCTTAAGTTAGCACCACCATAAAAAAGTCATTTTTAAGAAACTGCTTTTTTTCATAAACTGGCAGACTTGGCGACTAAATTCGAATAAAAATAGCCTTCAAAATGGATATGGTTGCAAGTATGAAGGTCGCAACCCGCCTTAGAAATTTCGCCTTTAGTATCAACAGCTGTTGTTTGACAGGTCGTTAGAGAATGTTTGCAATTTATGGAATGTAAAGAATGTTAGTAATGTTGACGTTAGAAATGATTGGAATTACTAAAATTGTCATATAAGAAATGCATAGGCGGATTTTAAGAAAATTGATATTAAAATAGTTAGGATGAACCGAAAATTCTGAAAATCAATCAGAACTTTCGTTCTAGAGTTATCGTGCCGTGCCGGCATACATATACACAGACGACCATTTTCGTACTCAGAATGATCGGAAACATGAAAAAAGTTTTAAAAATATGTGGGGTAAGAAAATTTTTTCGTCTGCACGAATGCAATACCGAGGTCCCATATTAAGGGCCTCAGTAAAAAAGAAAGTAAACTCTAAGTATAGATTCTTTGATTTCGTTTTTAACAGCTTTCCCCAATATATCTATTATTGCATTTTGTATTTGCAGACTTAAAGAGGTAGTAACTTAATAAACAGAAAAAAGCACTCCTGGATTAGTTGAATCGAAGTAATGTTTGCTTTATATTTTTGTTAGTCCAATCCTGGCCCTTTGAAGTCGTGGACCTGGTTCCACGGAATCATGGTAGCTACGCCGCTGCTTCAGGTACACCATAAGATACCCATTACAATCTACACATAAAATTTAGGTAAAAGGGTCAATATGTAATATATAATTTTTTTACTTAAAACAGAGGTAAGAGGAGATGCCTCTTAAAGTTGGAAGACGTAAAAATAAAAGTTTCAACAGTCAATTTTATATTAATGTAGGTAGTTTTTAAATTAAGTGAATTAAAAATGAACTTAAAATAAAAAATCTGATGTGTCCAACACATGACTTTCCTATCTAGGTCTTACAGGCTTTTTCCGGTTATTTTGTACAATCTATTGCAGCATCTCTATAAATGTTTAGAGGATAAACTAAATATATACATTGTCCACATACATCTACCGCGAAACATTTTTCTATAGATATTCATTGAAAATGAAAATACTGAAAAATTTAAATTTAGCACTTTTCCTACAATTTTTCCATTACGGTCCATTTTAAAAAAATCATGTATAAACAAATATTATAGAGATCGATATCGCAAACAACTTTTATTTCAACAATTTTCATAAAAATCAGAATTTTGCACATTTTGTCAAATTTTTCGAATACGGACCATTTCAGGAAATTTTTACATAAAGCAAAAATTATAGATAATAATATTAGAAGTAACTTTTATTTGAACAATTTTTTTCTTCAAACATAAATAACAGATATATTCCATAAAATATAAAAACGGCCTCCCATAAAGTACCCCCCCAGATGTTCCGACTTTGTCCAAAATCTAATCATTTCACGTCAGGCCGAAATAAAACTTAAGTTTAAAATTTAATGTTTTTTTCTTTATCCATTTTTGAGTTTTCTTCAAATTTCGAAATTTACACATTTTCTCAAATATCTCGAATACGGTCCATTTTAGAGAAATTATCTATAGGATAAGAATTATAGAGAATTATATTACAAACAACTTTTGTTTGAACAATTTTTATAGAAAAAAATATTTTTTTACATTTTGTCAAATTTCGCGAATACGGACCATTTTAGAAAAATTTTGTATATAACAAAAATTATAGATAATAAAATAAGAAGTAACTTTCATTTGAAAAATTTTCTTCCCCAAACGTAAATAACAGATATATTCCATAAAATATAAAAATGACCACCTATAAAGTACCCCCCAGATGTTGCGACTCTGCCCAAAATCTAAACAGCTCATTAGACGTTGGAACAAAGCTTAAGTTTGAAATTTGGTGTTTTTCCGTGTATCGGTTCATGAGTTATGCGTTATACAGACACACACAGACACACACACACACAGACATCATCGCGAAAATAGTCAAAACGGATTCAGGGGACCTCAAAACGTAAAAATCCGTCGAAAACTCGAGGTCGAAAAAAATCATGATTCCTATACTTTCCTTATATCTGTATACAGATAGGAAAGTAAAACAATTTTGTTGCAAGTGCAATATGGAGATAGGTATTTAAGTTTTCAAATGAAATATCACACTTTACGATACGTAAGTTTTTATTCTGCAACAGTGCGTAAAAACAAAAGTTACGTAATGAACTGTCATATTGCTGTATTTCCTCTTTTGAATAAAATACTATATGACCCAACTTTCTATTTAAGAAAATTGAGTTGTGCGGGGGTCACGTGGAAGCATAGAGATAGAATACAGTAGAGACGACATACACTTTTGCGATATGACAAATGGAAGCACTTCAAGTGTCGTAAAAGTAATGAAAATGGTGACTTGAGTCCTACTTCGATTTATTTGAAGTCAATAGTTTTATAGTTAAAGACTGTCGGAATAAAAATGGTTTTATAACATTTGTATGAAGCTGTTTAAAAAAAAAGACATTTATTCTCATCAAACCTGAATAGCTACACTATCTCGAGTTTGACATTGACGTAAACATGTAATGCAAAGGTACGGACAATTTAGGATCATCATAACATCTCCTCTTTATTCTATCTCAATGCGAGGAAGGAATTAAAGAGGAAGCAGATTTTTTTATATCATAAAATGTCTTGATTAAAACAAAAATTGTCGTGTCCAAGCAGGTTTCACGATTTTCTAAAATTACGACACAAGTTTATTCCGTGAGCGGTATTGGCAGTATATTAAAATTGCATTATTAATATTATTTCGTTTCTTATGGCCAATTGCAAATGCGATAATAGTCTTCTTATTATCTCTAGCGGCTTTACCAGCCAATTCTATAGAACTTCAGCAGCTAAATATTCCATTACGGCTGCTAAATATACAGGTGCACGAGCTCCTAACTCTTTCTGCATATATTCCCTTTCTTAATAAACGATGGATACACTCCAACTGGAAATTGTAACCCTGCACGATTTGAACGGGACTTTGCATTTCCCTTTACTTTTCCACCTTTACCACGCCCAGACATTATTATTATTATTTATTTTTACTTCTTACAACAAACACGATATACAGTCATTTCCGAATTCAATAATAAAATAGTATATTATGCAACAAGTGGGGAAAGTTCAACTTTTCTTACGAGTGTGGAAATTCGTGGCACGAGCCTGAAGGGCGAGTGTTGCAAACACACGAGTGAGACAAATACTTTCCCCACATGTTGCACACTATACTTTTTCTACAACTGCACAAATTTAAAGAATACAGAAGTAATGTAACTTAATATTTATTTTTATGGTTAGCAAAACTAAACTAGTTAATAGTAAAATTAGTACAATTTTGTATGGTCAAACCCGGAATGTAATTTCTTTTTAGTATGTTTTCTTTGTTATATTAATAAAAATTTAAAAAACTATAATCATCTGACAGTTGTGACAACTATTTAAAGCTGAACAGCAGACTTAAGTTTTTGTCGATTTTTGTTGATTCTCCATATAAATGTATGTGGTGTGGGCAAAGTGCCGTGAGAAAAAATTGCCCCAAAAAAAAATTGAATATTTGTTATATTAAATTTAACTAAATCAGATGTAATTTCACTAAATTAGATGTAATAATTTTCAATTATTTCCAAAACTTAGTGATGTTAGATTGGAAGTAGCAACAGCTTACACTGGCATGGAAATTTACGTTGTGTATTATAAGCGCGCAGCGGCTTACACATTTATTCATTGATAAAAATAAGTTGTGTCTGCGTAAAATTGTTCTCTTTATTCCTTCTCTTACTTCTCACCTTTCGTCGCCTCGCCCCGCGTCTAGAAATAGAATGTATCGATTGTCGAATTAATGTTGGAATCGTGAATATTATATTTTATCAATGTGTAAATCATAATAAATTTTAGGTAAAATAATACTGCGAACTCAACGAAAGAACGACATATTCAATAATTCGAACATAAAATATTTCTCATTATATAACGGTGTCTTATTCATCACTACCAGACTTCTTGTTAATTTCGGGCAACATAGACGAGGCGGTTACAATCTCCAAGGGGGGATCGTTTACAAATGACTGCTTATATCTCTGTTATCTCTAAAAATACGCTACTTTTCATAGCAGTTGTATAAAAACGTCATTTCAATTCGCCGTGTAAATACCTCCAAATTGCCACCAACGGGTTGGTTCTATTAACATGACTGCAGAGAAAAGAAAATAAAAATATTGTTTTAGTTTTATTAGATAACTAAATTCATACATTTTGAGTAAATAAGTAGATATTGTAATTTTTGCTCCCTAGAAAAATATTTCCGAATTCATTTTTTTTTTTTTTTTTAATACAGGTTCTTTATCCAAATTATACTATTATAATACTTCATTTTTATATGATCGAGTAAATAATTTATTTTCCCAAAATAATCTTTCTTGAAGCTCCAAAGTTCTGACCAGATTGAGAAGCGCCTCTGTTTTGACCGGCTTGGAGACCAATGATGGCCTCTCCTGCCCTGAGCTGCTGTTCGCTGAATTCCCTTTTGTTCTCCTCGGATGGTTTGGGACCCAAGTAAGGTCCTCTCCATTCTGGGTGCTTGTAACAGGTGCGACCTAAGGCGAAAATAGTAGTGGTGACCAGGGCAATGTTTTTCCTATCCCAAAGGTCGGTTGTTTGGAAGAGATCAACGTCTGGAACTCCATATTTCGTGCAAGCTTTTTGAAACCTGAAAAACAAAAAGGAAAAAAAATTAATATTAAGAAAAAAATCTTAGGTCAATTAAAAACGCCTTTACATGCGAATGGTGGGCATAAATGTGAATATTCGTAAATTATTTAAACATCAGTAGAACTTTTGATTGATCGCCTATAGGATACCGATGTTCAAGGATATGAATGCGCAATCCAAAATAAAAATGGACGTGGCAGATGGTAGGGCTTTTTTAAAATCGTTATTCAATGCTGCTACCACCAAATTTGAGCTGTAAATAATCTCAAATAATTATATTAATAAACCCATAGACAAGATGTTTAAAATAGATCAATTAATAAAAAAGGCACTGTACCCAAGCGGTCACCAACTCAATAAGTACTCATATTAACAGCGCCCAACACTGCGATGATCGAAGCGAACCAAATGAATTTTACAACAAATATAAAGAGTGGTCCACAAAACTATTTTTAAAGTAACCCATGATCGAGAAATAAACTCAAAAAGAAGAAGACCTACACGTTCGACATGCGTTAATTTTTCCAACAAAATTCCAGGGCCTACTTTAAAAACATTTGTTGTAGCAAAACAAATATACAGGGTGTTCAATTAAGAATGGGACATAAGACGACTGAAGAAAATTTAAAATTTTAGTCCAAATATGTTTTTGGACACAGGCGTAAAATTTAGAGAAGATGGATTACTTACCCTTGCAGTACGCCACTGGTAAAGTTTATTTAACTTATTTTTTACTGATAGGTGCATCTTATGTTACTAAAAACGTTTACCGAATATAAACTGCTGGCCACTCGAACTTACCCACAGAGATCTTTAGGCAAAATTTAAAGTACAATATTTTCAACAGGAATACAAATTTTTGAACGCGGCTTCCAGATTTTAAGAGCTAGTTTTTTTTTTATTGAGCTGCATGACGTATATTTTTCGTAGGACTATATACGGAGTGATCAATGAAGTTATGCAAAAAATCAAAAAGTTTGTATGAGTGAAATTGCCGCAAAACATTTTTTTGGTCGTTGCAATATGGTTTGTTACTAAGGTAACATCAATATCTCTAGACGTTTTTGTCAGTTTCTGGATTAAGGCCCTTAGGTCTTGTACACACTACCTACTAAACATAAAATTTGGGTAGCAAAATTTTTAAAATGCTATAACTTGACATTGGATTGACGGTTCTTGATGGTTTTTACGGATTTGGAATCCTTTTTTCACGTAGATTTTCTATGGTCTAAACATTTTATTAAAAAATACGGTGTAATGTAATAACAAAGATTAGGTATGTATGGATAAAGATACGTAGTGGTAATTGGTATTGGTAATTTTAAATAAATAAAAAAAAAATTCCTGAAAAACATAAATTGTCTGTCCATTATTTTTTGTTTTGAACCCACTGCGTCAAAGATGGGAATTGCAACCTTGCATTTTTAGAGTTTACAATAAAATTGGGTTATTGTTGGCAACGGCGTGTTAAAAGGATGAGGTCATTGCAAGCAACCGGTAAATATCAATGGAAAAATACCAAGTATCTTATCTTTAAATACCTAATTTTTGGTAATAATTTACCTGAAATTAAAAGACCACACGTGTTCAATGACACTAAGATCCGGATACTTTGCAGGCCAGTTCATCCTATTGATGTTCTGTGCTTGCAAAAACTCTGTGATCCTTCGCGCTCTGTGAGATCGAGCGCTTGTCATCCACCAATAGAAATTCTGGGCCGCAATTTCGAGCAACAAGAACAACAATAGGTTCCAAAACTTCCTCCTGATAAACAGTAGCGTTTACGGTTTGGTTGGTAATGAGTAGCTCGATTTTACCATTTCCTATGATACCTCCCCACACCTCCGGCACCAAGTGCCTCTTGAGGGGCCATATTTTTCTCCAAATGCCCTCTCCAAACTAACATTCGGCCATGAATATTTAAGACAACAAACTGGGGTGAAAATTTTTGACTTTAAATAAAAACAACTTGAGGTGAGAATTTATTTTTACAAAAACTTAAATAATGCCAAACCTTATAGCGCGTCGTACGCTACGTTTTTGTCTATTATCGACCCGGTATAATGCGTAAATTTCAACTCTCAAATAAAATGCTTAGACCATAGAAAATCTACGTGAAATAAGGATTCCAAATCCGCAAAAATCATCAAGAACCGTCAATCCAATGTCAAATTATAGCATTTTAAAAATTTTATGTTTAGTAGTGTGTAGAAGACCTAAGGAACTTAATTCAAAAACTGACAAAAACATCTAGAGATATTGATGTTACCATAGTAACGAACCATACTGCAACGACCAAACAAATTTTTTGCAGAAATTTCACTTATACAAACTTTTTGATTTTTGCATGACTTCATTGATCACCCCGTATATAATAAACCTATGGTCCTACGATAAATATACATTATGCAGCTTATTCCGAAAAAAAACTAGCTCTTAAAATCTGCAAGCCGCTTACAAAAATTTGCATTCTTGTTGAAATAATTGAACTTTAAATTTTGCCTAAAAATCTCTATGTGTAAGTTCAAAGTGGCCAGCAGTTTAGTAAAATCATACTGAGTATAAAAAAAATATAGCCATTCAGTTTTTTGCGAATTTTCAACTTTAATACCCTGTATTTCGGAAACGAATAACTTTTTACCCAAGCATGTTTCGTTTAATCGTCTTTTTTTAATCACAGAATCTTCAATTCTTTTATGTCCCATTCTTAATAGGTATTTTAATAATATAATTATAATATATAATATTTGTGTCTTTGGTATGATGTGGCCGTTGCCTACCAGTGTAGCGAGTATTCTGCAATATACTTTTGTTCTGCTCACCGCCCTTCGTGTAGTTCAGTGATTCTATTTAGAATCAAAGATTTTCGAATACTACATTAAATTGGTGTATAATGTGTTGCATATATTTGGGAACAAATACTATAACAGGATTATTAGTTGGAATTCGAAGTTTACCTCTTCGTTTTCATGATACCCTATTTATTCATTTTCTGTTTGCACTAGTTGATGATACTCAATCTCAGTTGGTGTTAATTAACATCAAGATCATTATCATTTTAATTGTAACAACAAAAATATAAATGGCTATCTAAATTACCCAAAATCGAAGTGATGAAAAATGACAGAGTCGGTTCTTCGGTGTTTCACTGATTTTATAGTGCGTAGGTAACTGGTGCCAGTTTTTTTTTATTTTGTTCAACTTAATTTGATTTCCAAATTGAAATGCATCTAAGGATTTTATAAAAATAAAAGCTGAAACAATAAATGAAATTAAAGAACTTTTACCTTCTAAGGAAAACTGTAAAGGTAATTCCGAGGGTAATTCCTAAGTAGGATGATTGTAATTTTACCTATAGAACAATTAAAAAAAACGTCATCTAAGTTCCCACGCGACGGTGGGAACAATAATACCTACATTTCATATTTCTATAGATTTCTATACTTTCTAATATTTTCTAATATTTTCTAATCATTGAAATTGGACTTTTTATCAAATAAAATAAATAATAAATATGTTTTATGCTATGATGACTATTCTATTCAGTTAAAATTAGTTGCTTCAATATAATTGTTATCATTGTGATTTTATTTATTTAAATAAAAATATACCTTAGATACTTCAAGTTTTAATTACAAAACCAACCCTGTTAAATCAAAGAATCAATTAACTGACAAATTCTCTTCTATAGCATGTTTTACCTCCTCGACATTCTATATTCTTAATACTTGAATTTCATACTGGATGATTTATGTAGAGCAAGCAAAATTAATATAATCCTCTCCACTGCAGTCGATTGATTTCGCAGTGAACTGATATACGGTGTTGCCAAGTTGAGTAACATTACGAAAATTATCAGAAAAACTAAGTGGTCTGACTAGATGTCAAAGGCATGTTCTTAACAATTATATGGAATGGTTCACAAAAAATGTTTCTAAAATAGCACTTGGAAAATTTAATCCATATCCATTACTCGTATCTCTATCTTTGTCGGTTATAGCCTACTTTAGATACCTTTTTTTGAATTACTATAATTATACTCTCCCTTACAATTCGCCGCCTTCTCAGACAGCACACAGGACGTCCCATAGACGTTCTGATTTGGTCCCTTTGGTCCGGGACTTAAATCGGACGTCTACTAGACGTCCTATTTTGGCCCGGTTTCGACAAAACGTTTAGTTTTCGGTCCGAGTCCAAGACGTTAATGGGACATCTGTGAGACTTCTTATGTACTGGCATCGTTGGTATTTGAATCAAAAACTTGAAATTGAACGTTTTGTTTTTGCAAGAGAATGATGCCGCGTTTGAGAATCCACATATTTTTATCCATATCTGAAACATCTGTCTCATTACATTTACGTATACTGAATCACGTGATCAAAGATTTACTACATCTCAGATGCATCCGATGTGGATTCTCAAACGCGGCATATGAAGGGCAGAAAACCTAACCTATCATTTAATTTCAAAAGAACAACAGCTCAAATGTTTGACATTAAATTATTAACTTATATAAGTGAGTTATAGTAACGAAGAAGAAAAGAAGGTTATATAGTGTTATTTTTTTGTGTCATCGGCGTCGACTGCTAAGGTCATTAGCCTCGTGTTCTGTATAGGCTTTGTTACTGTTTCCCAGCGCCACTTTAGGAACAGCCCTGTTAATTAGAACCCAACAGTTATTTTTTTGATATTGGTGGTAAAATGGTTATAAAATGAGTGTTTTGTGTTAAGGTGAGAATAAGAGATCTGTGTTGGCGGTAGCGGAAATGACTACTACTTTGAAACAAACCTGATTTTGACAAAACTATAAAACTCAGTTGTGTAGACACAAGCTCTAAACAGAACCCAAGGTTTCATCCTTCCAGCACTGTGTGTTAAATTTAATTCATTCCTGTTTTTTTTTTGTAAACTGAAAACGTTTAACTCTAGCTAGCCTTTTCAGGATAAAAGTTGTTAAATAAAACCTTTTTATTGTTAATATTTTTGTTACCATTGCCC